TATCTTTCCATTCCAGGGCTGCAGAGTCTCCCCTTCCCCACTAAATCTACACACAAGGAGGCTCAGAGAACAAGGGCCACTGTCAGCACGAACCACATGAACCAACATAACCACAGTCTGGCTCATGATCCTTCCAAATCACAGCAGAAATAACAGTTCAACAGACCTGCTCTATACACCACCCCCACTCAGCAAGGGATAGCTTGTGGTCTTCCTTAAAGGTACGTACTACAGAGGCAGAGGAGAGTCATGGAAATAACCCACAAACTATCTGCCACTAGTACTCTTGATTGTCAGTGCTTCCCAGAATTCCCTCATTGCCTAGGACCTCCCAGCTAAGACTCAAAATATTAGCAGGTTTTCTACTGGAGGATCAGACATCAAATGACTCAGACAGCACAGCCCTTCCAGTTCTGTCCTCCCAGCCCAGCAGACAGGGCCCCAGTTTAAAAACTTTCTATTTGCCGGGCAGTGGTGGCTCACGCCTTTAATTGTAGCACTTAGGAGGCAGAGGCAGGTGGATCTCTTTGAGTTCGAGACATGCCTGGTCTACAAGATCTAGTTCCAGGCCAGGCTCCAAAACCACAGAGAAACCCAGTCCTGAAAAACCAAAAACAAAAAACAAAAAAAAAACAAAAAAAAACAAACTTTGTATTTAGCACACATTATTCCACTCTCCTAGAGCACACACATCCTGTTCCTCATCCAAAGTGCAGGGTCCATTGTGTGCACATTCCATTACACACTTACTTTCCAGTGCAGCCATCACCTTGTCTGAGAGATGCGAAATTTTGGAGAAAATCATGTCAGATTCATAAAGTAATTACTCTTACTGTGTAACTGTGGTTACTTTGTAACTGTTGTCAAAATGACAGACCATGAATTAGAAAACAATCCAGGCATATTAGGACTTGAAGGCAGCAAAGGGAATGTAAATATGACATAGTTTTCATCTCAAAAATTATTTCGAAAACTTGAAACACACTTTCTGCCCATGTGCTCCAGAGACTAGGGATTTGTATTCATGCACATTAAATATGTCTCATATATTTTACTAAAGATGAATGTCCTAATGCAGAAAAGTAACAGTCCTTTTAAGCAGGGCCACAACATTTTAACTACATCTTCTATTTTAGATGAACTTCTGTAAATAGAGCAATTAGATTTAAAGATATGGTCAGTCCTTTTCCAAGATACTTGACTGCTCTGGTCTATGGACTGCAAACAATGGTCAATCAGGACAGTCATAGAGCATCTACAATTGACTCCCTCATTCCACATAGCTAATCTCAACTTCTATTGAAGGAGGAAAGCTCTCACCCTCAGTCCAACCTTATTTTTTTCTTTCAACACAGGGTTTCTCTGTGGTTTTGGAGCCTGTCCTGGAACTAGCTCTTCTAGACCAGGCTGGTCTCGAACTCACAGAGATCCGCCTGCCTCTGCCTCCCGAGTGCTGGGATTAAAGGCATGCGCCACCACCACCCGGCCAACTTTTTTGTTTCTGCCCTGTGTCTCCACCAGCTTCAAGTTGGTCAATGAGCTCAACTTTTGCACAGGTCTCTCTGCTTCTAAGTCCCCAACAAAAGCCAGAAAGATCAGCAGACACTCATTAACTACTCTATTTTTCTTTCTCACTTACAAATCAAGGTCAAACCTGTAAGGAGTTACAGAACTGTTTTCCCAGCACTGGCAGCAGAGGAAAGATTGATTAGGAGTTCAAAATGATTCTCAGTTACACAGCATGAGGCAAGCCTAAGCTATAGGGCACATTGCTTTACACAGAAATCAATAATCAACATCACTTGAAAGAAATAAAATGCAAATATTAGTGACTTTGAAATGTTGGAGAACTGCCTGGTGGTGGTGGCAAGCCTTTAATCCCAGCACTCAGGAGGCAGAGGCAGGCAGATCTCTGTGAGTTCGAGGTCCACCTGGTCTACAAAGGGAGTTTCAGGACAGGCTCCAAAAGCTACAGAAAAACCCTGTCTCGAAAAAGCAAAAAAAAAAAAGTTGGAGAACAAAAACAGAGACAAGAGCAACAATACACTTAAAGAGAATAACTGAAAATGACACCAATAAGTGATTTTTTAAATGACAAAAATACTGCACTTTTAAGATTAAATAAAACTTTCTACATTGACTTTGACAGAGTAGGACCTTCAATAAGAGAGGGGATGTCATTAATGAAAGATAGATTGATGGTGCCCATATACATATGTTGGCTGCTGAGATCAGTAACCTGACACATAAGAGTTAGTCAATGGGGGGGCTGGAGATATGGCTCAGTGGTTAAGAGCACTGATTGTTCTTCCACAGGTCCTGAGTTCAATTCCCAGCAACCACATGGTGGCTCACAACCACCTGTAATAAAATCTGGTGCCAACGTCTGGCCTGCAGAGACACATGCAGACAGAACATTGTAAACATAATAAATAAATTGAAAAAAAAAGAGTTAGTCAATGGCCTGTTTCTCAGATCTCTGAGTTGACATAACTGTGTCAAGCAAGATCAACCACATCTGCACAGGATAGTGGCCTAATTGCAAATTCAATGTTCATTGGCTCAAGATGACCTTCCCAATCTGTACACCCCACAAATGATATGCATTCAATCACATGGGATTAAATTAATAACACATGCTGGGAAATTACAAATTCACTGAACCTACAACAATCAGACCCTTTTTCATAATGGTGGCTTCAATAGTTGATTGCCTCCACTGTTTCCCCTGCAGTGTACACAATAAACTATTCATCCTATTCTGGTCTGAAGACAGAAGGTATGCTCCATATGCACATCCTTTACAGTGACTGCATTGCATGGTCAACTACATGACTCAAATGTATAAGTCTAAATCTGTGGGTGGGCAATGGTGGCGCATGCCTTTAATCCCAGCACTCGGGAGGCAGAGGAAGGCGGATATCTGTGAGTCCGAGACCAGCCTGGTCTACAGAGTTAGTTCCAGGACAGGCTCCAAAGCCACAGAGAAACCCATTCTCGAAAAAACAAAAGAAAAAAAAAACCTGTGAGGTTTTACGGTCATTTTTTATAGGAATTTTGAGAGTGTAGTATACCAAGGACACCTGAGTCAAAATAAGAATTTGTCTTAGAAACTATTTTTCTAACAGGATGGAAATGCAGCTGTTCTAGAATTAATACACCTTTCCATTGAGAAATCACATCATACACTTAGGAGATTAATAAAGAAAGACCTCTTTAATGATGGTATACATCAATCTCTGGCTAATGCTCAAAGAAGAATCAGCTAGACAGATTTCACATTTGCTGTTGTCCTTAAGCCTCCTTTAGGATTAGGCTCTAGGTTACACTTTCAATAACTGAAATAGAAACAGACAACTTGCCAAGCTAGACATTTAGTCAGATAGGAGAGTTACAGAGCAAATACATTTCCAGCATAATTTCTTATGTACACTGGTGACCTGAATCAGCAGATCATGCTTCAGTAAAAGGGTCCTGAGTTGAAGGTCACAGGGGATGATAAGTTAGGAAAAGTAAAATGTGAAAAGTTAAAAATTTAGGGTGGGGAGGTCCTGCAGATGCCTAGTAAGCTTCCTGAGAAAAACAGCAACTTGCTGGGCATTGATGGAACATACCCTTGATGAGCCAAGGGAGATCTATGAGTTCAAGGACAGCCTGGTCTACCCAGTAAGTTCCATGATAGTCAGGACAGTCCTACAGAGAAAGACTGTTTCAAAATATTATTAAAAAGGAGTAAAAGAAGAATAGCAACTTGGATCCTTCCAGAGTGGAAATGGAAGGAAATGGGAGAATTATAAGAAGTCAGTAAACAATATCATGTGAATTTGGGAGGAGGTTCGTCAGACATTTCTACTCAATTGGAACACAGGTTATCTCAAGAACTTTACTAAAGAGCACAGTGGCCTGGGGACTGATAACCATAGCTCCATATGGTGAAAGGCTTGGGTTCTTGGTCCTAAAGGAACCCCTCCACAAAGGCCTTGGCACCAGACCATTACCAGCTCTCCAAAGAATATTCCTTAGAGAAGGAGCTCTGTTTTATTATCAATACATCAGGTCTTTAGGGAAACTCACAAGACTTAGCCCCCAGGCTGTTACTAGATCTTCTAGGAATGTCCCTGATCTCTGCCAGAGGGAATAAATAAAACCCTTGATTGATCAGGTAACTCCTTAGCAAAACAATGTTTGGCATTTCAAATATATGTCACCTGGTGTCCTATTGCCCATCTGGAAGAACTGTGCTTTTCATAAGAAGAAAACTGGAACTTTGAGCCACATCAAGCCTTAAGGTTGTTTAGGAACCTGTAATGCCTCCTTGAAAAGCTTGCTTGAGGGTTTTTTTTTTATATGAGCATGTGCGTGGTGTCTGGTTTTAAATCAGTGGTGGCTTCTCTGTAGCAGTTTGGAGCTAAATATCTGGACAATCCAGTTGAACAAAGTGTGCCCTAGCATCCTAATCTCTAACAGCCCTGATTAAAATACATTTATCTTCTGGGTGATTTAGAGGCAGTCCTCCCCCAGCTAATTCTACTTTGTGAGACTGATCTATTTCCAAGGCATTGGAAAATTCTTTATATCAGCAATTCAACTCTTCTATGTTGCAGCTTAGAAGTGCAGCGCTACCCAACAGGTGAGCTGCCTTGATACCATTCACAAGTTAAACACAAATCAAGATTTATGGAAGAACTCAATTTTGAGAAGACACTGGAGAAACTAGACCTCTCTGAGTAAGGCAAGTTAAAGTTGAGAAGAAAGATGTTTGTATACATAGCACCCTGCTCCCAATTCTCTAAGCAGATTAAGCACACAGCAATAGGTCTAGGAATTAACAGGACCACAAGGGACTTCACGAGGCAGGGAATATGGCGGCAGGTTCCCACACAGATCACGCAAGGATGCACCATGCTGTTTGCCGCACCTCACCCTCTGCTCCTCCCCATCTGGAGACAGCATTCCCTAGCTCACCATGTTGTGGTTCCCCAGATCGCAAAAGCTCTCACATCGTCATCTCCCTGCAGCAGCAACTTCAGCACAGCACAGGAAACAACTGGCACAAGCTCCTCCACAAAGCCAAGTCTGAAGGCGGGTGCCCGGAAGAACCCTGCACTGTTTCTGACTGGCAGGTCACCTGGAGGGCCTGATTGGCTGGTGCGGTCTGAGTGGCAAGAACACTCTCCACAGGGCTATAGTGTGCTTAAAGACACAGTACAGTGGTTCCTGGCCATTCCTTCCACCTGAGTCAAAGATCTTTTCTAGATTGTCCAAGCTTTGCATTTCAATAGCACTTGCCCCTTGCTCCAAAAGGAGACACTTTCACAATCTTGCACTCCATAGGAACTTTTCCTTTTTCCTCCAGGACACAGTGTGCCTAGCTAGCCTGTACTGTGCACTGTGCTGTGCTAGGTGTATGCAGGGATTTCTTGTCCTACAGGGGGATGGGTGCACAGAGTATTAACAGCTAAAAATAACTTTAAGGTCACTAAAGATGATTGTTCTGTGGCTTCATGCTGAGGTCACATAAACGTAAGGTACTTTTTACATGGTTTTCACAGGGATTTCACACAACAGAAAAGAGAAAAGGAGGAACCAGATCTTAAACAAGATGGTTAGTCTTTCCCCAACTGATGGCTGGATGATGGCTCCATTGCCTAATGGGTTCTATTCCTGAAATTCAGAGCAAATTCGAGGCAAATGAATGATAATAAAAAAGTGTAGTGTTGCCGGGCGGTGGTGGCGCACGCCTTTAATCCCAGCACTCGGGAGGCAGAGGCAGGCGGATCTCTGTGAGTTCGAGACCAGCCTGGTCTAGAAGAGCTAGTTCCAGGACAGGCTCCAAAACCACAGAGAAACCCTGTCTCGAAAAACCAAAAAAAAAAAAAAAAAGAAACTCCTTTTGTCCCCTGGTAAGCTTCACTGGATCACACCATTGTGGCAAGTGGCAGAATCACTAGAATCAGTAGATTTAACAGAATTAACAGAAAATTTCTCAGGTGTGCGTTGTGTTAGCCAGGTAGATAGGGCACAGTCTACCAATTCCGTCATAATTCATGTAGCAGGAAGCAGATTTTAAATCATTTTTTAGGTTGTTTTGTGATTGGACATTAGTGGGACTGTGTTTACCTTCAACCAGAAGATAGCACAAGGATCTGGAGAGCTGTAACAAGAGATCCTCTCTATTTGCAAAGAGAGCATCAAAATCAGTAGAATTAACAGAATTCTACTCAAGTATTGCTCTACCAGTTCCTAAACAATTTGTAATCTTTAGAACAGAAACCTGAAATTGGAAAGCAATATTCAGATATTCAATAGTCTAGAAATTAGAACTTCACTTTTCTAATCTCTCTTCCCACTGCACAACAAAAGCAGTGCCCATGTGTATACTCTGGACATAGATACAACCAGCATCATATCTTTCCATTCCAGGGCTGCAGAGTCTCCCCTTCCCCACTAAATCTACACACAAGGAGGCTCAGAGAACAAGGGCCACTGTCAGCACGAACCACATGAACCAACATAACCACAGTCTGGCTCATGATCCTTCCAAATCACAGCAGAAATAACAGTTCAACAGACCTGCTCTATACACCACCCCCACTCAGCAAGGGATAGCTTGTGGTCTTCCTTAAAGGTACGTACTACAGAGGCAGAGGAGAGTCATGGAAATAACCCACAAACTATCTGCCACTAGTACTCTTGATTGTCAGTGCTTCCCAGAATTCCCTCATTGCCTAGGACCTCCCAGCTAAGACTCAAAATATTAGCAGGTTTTCTACTGGAGGATCAGACATCAAATGACTCAGACAGCACAGCCCTTCCAGTTCTGTCCTCCCAGCCCAGCAGACAGGGCCCCAGTTTAAAAACTTTCTATTTGCCGGGCAGTGGTGGCTCACGCCTTTAATTGTAGCACTTAGGAGGCAGAGGCAGGTGGATCTCTTTGAGTTCGAGACATGCCTGGTCTACAAGATCTAGTTCCAGGCCAGGCTCCAAAACCACAGAGAAACCCAGTCCTGAAAAACCAAAAACAAAAAACAAAAAAAAAACAAAAAAAAACAAACTTTGTATTTAGCACACATTATTCCACTCTCCTAGAGCACACACATCCTGTTCCTCATCCAAAGTGCAGGGTCCATTGTGTGCACATTCCATTACACACTTACTTTCCAGTGCAGCCATCACCTTGTCTGAGAGATGCGAAATTTTGGAGAAAATCATGTCAGATTCATAAAGTAATTACTCTTACTGTGTAACTGTGGTTACTTTGTAACTGTTGTCAAAATGACAGACCATGAATTAGAAAACAATCCAGGCATATTAGGACTTGAAGGCAGCAAAGGGAATGTAAATATGACATAGTTTTCATCTCAAAAATTATTTCGAAAACTTGAAACACACTTTCTGCCCATGTGCTCCAGAGACTAGGGATTTGTATTCATGCACATTAAATATGTCTCATATATTTTACTAAAGATGAATGTCCTAATGCAGAAAAGTAACAGTCCTTTTAAGCAGGGCCACAACATTTTAACTACATCTTCTATTTTAGATGAACTTCTGTAAATAGAGCAATTAGATTTAAAGATATGGTCAGTCCTTTTCCAAGATACTTGACTGCTCTGGTCTATGGACTGCAAACAATGGTCAATCAGGACAGTCATAGAGCATCTACAATTGACTCCCTCATTCCACATAGCTAATCTCAACTTCTATTGAAGGAGGAAAGCTCTCACCCTCAGTCCAACCTTATTTTTTTCTTTCAACACAGGGTTTCTCTGTGGTTTTGGAGCCTGTCCTGGAACTAGCTCTTCTAGACCAGGCTGGTCTCGAACTCACAGAGATCCGCCTGCCTCTGCCTCCCGAGTGCTGGGATTAAAGGCATGCGCCACCACCACCCGGCCAACTTTTTTGTTTCTGCCCTGTGTCTCCACCAGCTTCAAGTTGGTCAATGAGCTCAACTTTTGCACAGGTCTCTCTGCTTCTAAGTCCCCAACAAAAGCCAGAAAGATCAGCAGACACTCATTAACTACTCTATTTTTCTTTCTCACTTACAAATCAAGGTCAAACCTGTAAGGAGTTACAGAACTGTTTTCCCAGCACTGGCAGCAGAGGAAAGATTGATTAGGAGTTCAAAATGATTCTCAGTTACACAGCATGAGGCAAGCCTAAGCTATAGGGCACATTGCTTTACACAGAAATCAATAATCAACATCACTTGAAAGAAATAAAATGCAAATATTAGTGACTTTGAAATGTTGGAGAACTGCCTGGTGGTGGTGGCAAGCCTTTAATCCCAGCACTCAGGAGGCAGAGGCAGGCAGATCTCTGTGAGTTCGAGGTCCACCTGGTCTACAAAGGGAGTTTCAGGACAGGCTCCAAAAGCTACAGAAAAACCCTGTCTCGAAAAAGCAAAAAAAAAAAAGTTGGAGAACAAAAACAGAGACAAGAGCAACAATACACTTAAAGAGAATAACTGAAAATGACACCAATAAGTGATTTTTTAAATGACAAAAATACTGCACTTTTAAGATTAAATAAAACTTTCTACATTGACTTTGACAGAGTAGGACCTTCAATAAGAGAGGGGATGTCATTAATGAAAGATAGATTGATGGTGCCCATATACATATGTTGGCTGCTGAGATCAGTAACCTGACACATAAGAGTTAGTCAATGGGGGGGCTGGAGATATGGCTCAGTGGTTAAGAGCACTGATTGTTCTTCCACAGGTCCTGAGTTCAATTCCCAGCAACCACATGGTGGCTCACAACCACCTGTAATAAAATCTGGTGCCAACGTCTGGCCTGCAGAGACACATGCAGACAGAACATTGTAAACATAATAAATAAATTGAAAAAAAAAGAGTTAGTCAATGGCCTGTTTCTCAGATCTCTGAGTTGACATAACTGTGTCAAGCAAGATCAACCACATCTGCACAGGATAGTGGCCTAATTGCAAATTCAATGTTCATTGGCTCAAGATGACCTTCCCAATCTGTACACCCCACAAATGATATGCATTCAATCACATGGGATTAAATTAATAACACATGCTGGGAAATTACAAATTCACTGAACCTACAACAATCAGACCCTTTTTCATAATGGTGGCTTCAATAGTTGATTGCCTCCACTGTTTCCCCTGCAGTGTACACAATAAACTATTCATCCTATTCTGGTCTGAAGACAGAAGGTATGCTCCATATGCACATCCTTTACAGTGACTGCATTGCATGGTCAACTACATGACTCAAATGTATAAGTCTAAATCTGTGGGTGGGCAATGGTGGCGCATGCCTTTAATCCCAGCACTCGGGAGGCAGAGGAAGGCGGATATCTGTGAGTCCGAGACCAGCCTGGTCTACAGAGTTAGTTCCAGGACAGGCTCCAAAGCCACAGAGAAACCCATTCTCGAAAAAACAAAAGAAAAAAAAAACCTGTGAGGTTTTACGGTCATTTTTTATAGGAATTTTGAGAGTGTAGTATACCAAGGACACCTGAGTCAAAATAAGAATTTGTCTTAGAAACTATTTTTCTAACAGGATGGAAATGCAGCTGTTCTAGAATTAATACACCTTTCCATTGAGAAATCACATCATACACTTAGGAGATTAATAAAGAAAGACCTCTTTAATGATGGTATACATCAATCTCTGGCTAATGCTCAAAGAAGAATCAGCTAGACAGATTTCACATTTGCTGTTGTCCTTAAGCCTCCTTTAGGATTAGGCTCTAGGTTACACTTTCAATAACTGAAATAGAAACAGACAACTTGCCAAGCTAGACATTTAGTCAGATAGGAGAGTTACAGAGCAAATACATTTCCAGCATAATTTCTTATGTACACTGGTGACCTGAATCAGCAGATCATGCTTCAGTAAAAGGGTCCTGAGTTGAAGGTCACAGGGGATGATAAGTTAGGAAAAGTAAAATGTGAAAAGTTAAAAATTTAGGGTGGGGAGGTCCTGCAGATGCCTAGTAAGCTTCCTGAGAAAAACAGCAACTTGCTGGGCATTGATGGAACATACCCTTGATGAGCCAAGGGAGATCTATGAGTTCAAGGACAGCCTGGTCTACCCAGTAAGTTCCATGATAGTCAGGACAGTCCTACAGAGAAAGACTGTTTCAAAATATTATTAAAAAGGAGTAAAAGAAGAATAGCAACTTGGATCCTTCCAGAGTGGAAATGGAAGGAAATGGGAGAATTATAAGAAGTCAGTAAACAATATCATGTGAATTTGGGAGGAGGTTCGTCAGACATTTCTACTCAATTGGAACACAGGTTATCTCAAGAACTTTACTAAAGAGCACAGTGGCCTGGGGACTGATAACCATAGCTCCATATGGTGAAAGGCTTGGGTTCTTGGTCCTAAAGGAACCCCTCCACAAAGGCCTTGGCACCAGACCATTACCAGCTCTCCAAAGAATATTCCTTAGAGAAGGAGCTCTGTTTTATTATCAATACATCAGGTCTTTAGGGAAACTCACAAGACTTAGCCCCCAGGCTGTTACTAGATCTTCTAGGAATGTCCCTGATCTCTGCCAGAGGGAATAAATAAAACCCTTGATTGATCAGGTAACTCCTTAGCAAAACAATGTTTGGCATTTCAAATATATGTCACCTGGTGTCCTATTGCCCATCTGGAAGAACTGTGCTTTTCATAAGAAGAAAACTGGAACTTTGAGCCACATCAAGCCTTAAGGTTGTTTAGGAACCTGTAATGCCTCCTTGAAAAGCTTGCTTGAGGGTTTTTTTTTTTATATGAGCATGTGCGTGGTGTCTGGTTTTAAATCAGTGGTGGCTTCTCTGTAGCAGTTTGGAGCTAAATATCTGGACAATCCAGTTGAACAAAGTGTGCCCTAGCATCCTAATCTCTAACAGCCCTGATTAAAATACATTTATCTTCTGGGTGATTTAGAGGCAGTCCTCCCCCAGCTAATTCTACTTTGTGAGACTGATCTATTTCCAAGGCATTGGAAAATTCTTTATATCAGCAATTCAACTCTTCTATGTTGCAGCTTAGAAGTGCAGCGCTACCCAACAGGTGAGCTGCCTTGATACCATTCACAAGTTAAACACAAATCAAGATTTATGGAAGAACTCAATTTTGAGAAGACACTGGAGAAACTAGACCTCTCTGAGTAAGGCAAGTTAAAGTTGAGAAGAAAGATGTTTGTATACATAGCACCCTGCTCCCAATTCTCTAAGCAGATTAAGCACACAGCAATAGGTCTAGGAATTAACAGGACCACAAGGGACTTCACGAGGCAGGGAATATGGCGGCAGGTTCCCACACAGATCACGCAAGGATGCACCATGCTGTTTGCCGCACCTCACCCTCTGCTCCTCCCCATCTGGAGACAGCATTCCCTAGCTCACCATGTTGTGGTTCCCCAGATCGCAAAAGCTCTCACATCGTCATCTCCCTGCAGCAGCAACTTCAGCACAGCACAGGAAACAACTGGCACAAGCTCCTCCACAAAGCCAAGTCTGAAGGCGGGTGCCCGGAAGAACCCTGCACTGTTTCTGACTGGCAGGTCACCTGGAGGGCCTGATTGGCTGGTGCGGTCTGAGTGGCAAGAACACTCTCCACAGGGCTATAGTGTGCTTAAAGACACAGTACAGTGGTTCCTGGCCATTCCTTCCACCTGAGTCAAAGATCTTTTCTAGATTGTCCAAGCTTTGCATTTCAATAGCACTTGCCCCTTGCTCCAAAAGGAGACACTTTCACAATCTTGCACTCCATAGGAACTTTTCCTTTTTCCTCCAGGACACAGTGTGCCTAGCTAGCCTGTACTGTGCACTGTGCTGTGCTAGGTGTATGCAGGGATTTCTTGTCCTACAGGGGGATGGGTGCACAGAGTATTAACAGCTAAAAATAACTTTAAGGTCACTAAAGATGATTGTTCTGTGGCTTCATGCTGAGGTCACATAAACGTAAGGTACTTTTTACATGGTTTTCACAGGGATTTCACACAACAGAAAAGAGAAAAGGAGGAACCAGATCTTAAACAAGATGGTTAGTCTTTCCCCAACTGATGGCTGGATGATGGCTCCATTGCCTAATGGGTTCTATTCCTGAAATTCAGAGCAAATTCGAGGCAAATGAATGATAATAAAAAAGTGTAGTGTTGCCGGGCGGTGGTGGCGCACGCCTTTAATCCCAGCACTCGGGAGGCAGAGGCAGGCGGATCTCTGTGAGTTCAAGACCAGCCTGG